GCATTTATTTCGTTGTTTTAGATATTGCAATTTTGTTTTTGTTTTTTTTTTTATTTTTAAAGTCAATTAAAATTACTTCCTGAGAAATAATTAATTTACAAAAAAATACTATTATTATACTTATTCGATTTATATTATAATTCAAAGTTTATCTCGCGAAATTAGAATGTCATTCGTAATTCTGTTATAACAGTATGTTACATGATTTTAAAATTGCTTCCATTGATAGAAGAAGAAACAAGTTTATTGGATGCTTTTCAGTAGGACATTATAGACTATCAAACGGACCTCGATTTCTTTCCCATTCAATTCTTTGACACCTTTTGCTAGAGGATTCTTATTTCAACGGCATTATTGGAATTCAATTCGACTTCCATACTCTTGCGATTTCCTGACAAGGAAACTACGATGATGTCAAAAAGCTATGGATGGAAATGTATTGACATCCATTTTATTCTTTTTTTTTTTTCCAATTTATATATATATATATATATATATTTACTTTACTATCGTGACAAATCTTGTTACGAACGTATAACAAATTTAAGTTTTATGTGAGTTCAAAGAAATGAATGGTAAAGAAAAAAAGCTATGGAAAGAATTTATCAATTGTGTGAACGATTATAACGATCAAATATTATACTTTATAATACTACCATACATTAATGAAAGTTATGTTTTTTAATATTCACAAACACTAGTGATACAATTGAACAAAAAATATACAAGAAATGTTCATGCAAGTTCAAAGAAATTAATTGTAACAATAAAATAACATGGAAAATATTTATCAGTTGTATGAAAGGGGATTAATGATTAGATAATTATACAGTAATATATAATACTAGTGTATTAATAAATGTTATTTCTTGAAATATCCACGAACATTTTTATAGAAAAGTCTAGTCATACATTAAGTTAAAAAAGAAAGATAATCGTAACCCTTGTCTCTATCTATTTTTGGTATATCTAAACTAAAGTTAAGGTCAATATTACATAAATAAAACGATATGATTGGTATTGATCGTTATCGGTTAAAGACAAGAAACAATAGTATGTTTCCTGTGTTATCCTTAATTGAATTTCTACATTTGTTCAACGTTACCTGACGAAAATGTCTTTTTAAACTCATTTGATATTTTATACGTTAAAAAATTAATATGCGATCAAAACAAAAAAGAAAAAAAAGAAACATGTAGGAGGTTATTTTCTTTTCGTCTGATACACACACAATACGTTCGTTGGATCGTTAATTCTTCATTCATTAACAACAAGTTGTTAATAAAGTAGAGCAATACGAGATAATGAAGTGTTTCGTTTGGGAAAGCCACTGTAATAAAATCTAGGTCGAGATTTGCAGATAACGAATATCGTATCTGGTTTTATTAGCGACAAAATTTGTCAAAGAAACCCAAATTTTTGTTAAAAGTCCAAATACAAGTACAAGTTTTTATTTTTGATTTATTATATATTTTTACTCGAAGTCATTGATGAAAAATAAAAAAAAAGAAATTAATAGCAAGGAAAACTCGTGAATTTTGTAAAAACTTTTTGTTAGTGACCAATCGTAGCAGTTGAAAGAGCCCCTATCAAAGTAGTGACCTTCGTGATATATAGGTCATTCGAGGGAATCGAAGTATCATGAAGAGAGAAGCTAGCTAGCTAGCTAGCTAGGTCAAGTGTTATACGAACAGCCAAAGTGACGAGAGTATCGGTTTACGTTGTTTGACGAAATAACGAAAACGTATAAAAACGTATAAAAATGTTATAAAAGATTTAATGAAGTTTTCGTAATATTATTCTATTGATATTACGAATAAAACCAATCGATAATTAATCAATTTCATTCAAGATATTTTCATTCTATATAGAATATTTCGTATTTTATTATCATCATCATCATCATCATCATCATCATCATCATCATCATCATCATCATCCAGAGGATTATAATTCAAATTGTGATCTCTTTTGATTGTGTTTCAATAATTAACGATATTTTCGAAATAATAATCCTCGTTAATTTTGTAAATACCTTGAGAACGTTATATTCATTGTTATCGATTATATTATATATTTAAAAAAAAACAAAACAAAAATGTAACAACGTCGAAATCGAGATGACGGAATTACCTGAAAGGATTAAAATGATTGATACGATACGGAAAGGAAGATATCAGTTTATCGAAATTTTACTTTTAAAGCAACTCATCGAATATAAATGTTAATAAGTTCGAATTGAAAGTACAATTGTTGCAAATATAAAACTTCACATAAAGTGTAGTTTTGGAAATCAACAAATGATAAGATTTAATAAAAATTTTCAGATATTCATAGAATTAATCTCTTGATATTCGGTGAAAAAAAAAAAACAAATTAGAATGTTGATTTCCAAAAGAATCACGATTCTTTCGTTTATCTAAACTTTGTCATTTTATACAAATTTTCTGATAAATATCGATAAAGGATTTTCGGATAGAAACTTATACGAAGGGAGGCATTCGCTTAAATAAAAAATAAGCAAGTTTTATACGGATAATACGTAAAATAACTCGATTATGTTATCAATTTAACATGTCACCGAAATTTTATCAGCTTAAATTCACACGTATGGTTACAAGGGGATACTACATGCACGAATGAATACGTCAATATAATACATTGATAGATAAAAATAGACAAAAAAAATGCATGATTTCTGTCGATGGAAAAAATACAAATAATAATAATAATAATATGTTAAAAGTTGGAACAAGGCAAACCGGTTATCGGAATGTATGATTTTACAATTAAAACGAGAATCTTTTATGCCGTGGTTAATTAAATTAATTTCAATCGAAATAAATTTTATGAAGTATCACGATTTGTGATTCGCGATTCAAGTTAACGTTTGCCATTTATTTCGATGGTTTTAATAATGACAATGATTTCATATTTTTTCCTCTAGAGATTCTGATATGTGAGACAAGATGAATCTTCTTGGAACATTTCGCGTATGAAAGTACATCCGTAGTATGGACCATTGTGCTGACTATTCCTAGTGCTTACATGAAATGCTTTGAGGTAGCACTTTAAACACTCACACACACATATATATATACGATGAACCGACACGTATATACTTGTGACAGATCAAGGTTGGGTTATACGGATAGACTTATATATCGTGTTCTGGGCAAACCACTTCAGATCGTTCCAGCACACTACTTTTTCCACTTGAAACTATCGATCGTCACTGTACACGGCACTCTCACCTTTTTACAGTGTTACCGCACCCTTAGGAATTTTCATTTCGATAACCGTTCCAACTTTTATTTTTATTTTTCCCATATGAAAATCTCAAAAAAAGAAAAGTTATTTTTTCACAAGAGAAATTATAGAAGGATCCGTTAATGTATTATTAAAGTATATTTATGCACTTGCATATGTATACAAGTGCACTTATCTCAAATCTCGCGAAAACGTGAGCAATATCTCGTAAAAGTTTTTTTTGTTTTTTTTTACGAGATTTTTAATCATAATAGGATTCCTGTTTATTGACTCGTTATGGGAGATAAGTGCTTTATGCACTATCTATAAATTGTCAATTAAAACGTTAACTTCAAATACGACGATGTTTATTTTCTATACGTGAAAATAATAATATCAGATTTTTAATCAAACGATATTATTATATCTAATATATTATCACAAATATTTATTTTTTATAATATATTTTGAACTACATTTTCATTTATGTTATTGCCCACGTTTCGGGGATTTTTGAGATCTTCGAGATGAAATTCGGGAAATTGGACATGAAAGTTTTTCAGTCCATTTAAACAAAACGGTCGAAATAATGACGTTTTTCTCGTGTATCATTAAATATTGGCTTGTTTCCAGAAAAAAGGAAAATGAACTAGAAATAAAATGGGAGTAGAAGATTTCTAATTCATGATTAAGTTTAATTCGCGTGAAAGTTTTCGAAGATATATTGTTGTTAGAACTTTTCGGTTATACAAATATTTAATGATCTTACAGTTCTCGTTCGTTTTCGGTTTAACTGAAAAATAGAATATTTCTAATTGTTTAAAAGTTTCATTCGAAGATGAAAATGTTCTTTGAAATTGTTGTAAAATTTAATGACCCTATTTCGAAGATTTTCTTACTTATTATTTCTGCACGTAACGCGAGATTATTCAAAGAATTATGATACATCGTAGATATTATTTGTAGTATCCGATAGAGGAGAAAATGAATGGCAATAATAATTTACAGTGTTATACTTTAATACATAAGTATCATCCTACGATATCTCATTTTACTTTTAACAATTTTAATCCGTATCGTATCATCATTTTCTCTCGTTACCAAGGAAATAACTTGACAAGTTTATTAGAAAGTTATGGAAATTCGTTTTTTTTTCTTTCTTTTTTTTTTTTCATTAATAAGATTTATCTTGTAACTCGATAATACTCGTGTTCTCGAGTTCTTTGATAATTGAGTTGTTTTTTTTTTCTTTTTCTATTTTTTTTCTCCCCTTGTTATAAAATATAATATTATTTATATATATATATTAAATATATATTATTTATATATTTATTTAGTATTTCTCTCGTCCAAAAATTACAATTTTTAATGATGAAATTTAACAGGGAACTTGGACATGAAAGAAGTAGAACTATGT